TAGATCACCTTTGTATCCCTTGCTGTTGTTTAGGGGTGTATTTAAGGGGTCTCTATAGGGTATGAAAATTTTCATACCGTACCCAGTCTAATTTAGGAATTTACTCTGCAACCTGCAGCCATGTACTGTTGATCCAATATTTAAGTGGTATTTTAAAGGGTTTTTGCATCTTGACTCCTTATAGGGACCTCTTATCAGAACGCCACATAGCCTAAGCCACGTAGGACTTTGAGACCTTTCTAATGCGCCCAAGAACTCTCCCCAACTCGTTGTGGTTGCTGAGGAAAGTGAACTTAAGTAGGTCTCGTGTTATGGTTTATAATTTTACGACATGAAAGTTGTTAATAAATAGCCCTGTGGCCGGCCCCCTTGTTTTCGGTTCAGTTGGATGGGGATGTATTTGTTTTTTTTGGGATGGGAGCCCTGACCAGGGCCCGAATATAAATATATATATATATATATATATATATATATATATATATATATATATATATATATATAGCATTTTGACTGCTGCATATTACGGTAAGGAAACGACAAGTGAAGTGGCATAAGTGGTAGCGCGCTGAACCATGGGCAATTAGGAAGGGCATCTACTCAGGTAAGGGTGGTACTGCTAAATATCATCAGTAGTATATACATATATAAATATGCATATATATTTGTGTGTATGTGCAAAAATATGTGCATCTGTACAGAAGTGTTATATGAACTCTTCCGCACAAGTGTTCAGTAGCACCTGCTGGCCAACACCTGTGTGGCCTGTCTCTCCAAATCCCTCTCGAGCAGTTCCTCACTCGCCACTGTGGCGGCTGACCGCCTCGAGGCCGGTAGGACCTCGAGCAGATCGCATCAACTTGTTCAGGTAACACAAGTGTTGTCCCTGATTATTTCTTTGCTCAATTTCTCGTTAGTGAAGGTTTACCGTGATATATCAGGTATGGCAGGATTTATGAGAACGAAGAGTTCCTTACTGCTGTCAAAATACTCTTGGGATAATGTTAATTTCATTGTTGGGTTCAACAGGCTAAATGGAAGTGTAGCTATCTGATTACATGTACCTTGATTACCATTATTATTGATGTTATTAATGTTATTGTTTTGCCTGTTTCTCACGCTGTAATACTTACTTATTCCCTGTGACCAGAATTGGAATCGTTTCATTTTAAAGAATCTCTCACACACACACAAACGCATGCATGCACCATATTACGAATGTATAAGAATCCTATTCAAAATCTATTATCATTATTGTTTTAACTGTTATTATTATTGTTGTCGTTATTATTGTCAATATCTTCGAGGCAAGTATACTGCACTTAAGAAGTCAGACCAGTCTAAGCACATTTATCATCCATGACTATCTACGGGGGGAGCTTATAAGGAAGGTAGAAGGGAAAGGGAAAAGAGAGAGTTGGTGAAGGGGAAACAGAGAGAAAACGGTGATTTATAAAGACGAAGGAAGGGAGTGGAGATTGGGAAAGGGAGGGGTAGGGAAAGGGGTTCAAAGAAAAAGGCGGATGGAAGAGGGAGTGAAGGAAGTGGTGGAGTTTAAGCAGGAAGAGGGGAAGTGGATTAGGGCAGATGTAAGGCTTAAGAGGGCGGGAGTAAATTTAGGGAAGATTTGGGAGTGAAGTCGGGTGCCAAAGTGGGAAAGGAAAATGAAGGAGAGGAAAAAAAGGGAAAGGGAAGGTGGAACTTAGAAGGTGAAAGAGGGAGAGAGGAGTACCTCTTATCATTTAATTTTATTTCCTGGAATTTCCATAAGTCCCACTAGTTTTTATTAGTATTAAGATCATTGTTATTATTATCATTATTACGATATACACTTGTATATTTGTTACTACTGTTATTATTGTGTCTATTATCGTTATCATTGTTGTTTTGCTATTGTTATCACCAATGTTATTATCATAATTATTATTACAATTGTTATTCTAAATATAATCATATATTATTACTTTATTGTTGCTGCTAGCATTATCATTGTCATCTATATTATAATTGCACTTGTAATTTGCCCGTCCGTCCGTCCGTCCGTTCGCACGTTACGCTTGTTACCGCATTCCAAAACCATATTGCATGTTACTGCAGACTTATTGCATTACACATGAATCACTCCATCAATGGAACTGATAGCTGCATCCACCCTGCACTTCCAACCCCGACGGTCCCTTCTAGCGAGTCGCCAGGCAGGTCCTTGGTACATCTCTAATTCCTGGTAACAGGTCTAGTCAATTTGCTTCCTGTGTCATCTCATTGACCTCCTCCACTCACGATTGTCTCAGGCAGGATAATATACAGGGAACAAAGTTAGGTACTCATAAGTCTGAGGCAGCGGTCCCGGATTGGTTGCATATATGATTCTGCTAAGTGTATCCCTTAACACAACACAATGACGTATTACAACAAGCATCTAAACAAGACCCTAAGGACTTTTATGACTCTTGCTTATAGGCCAATCCGTTTACTGAATTTCTAATCTGGCAGCCCAGTAATGAACATAAACTTCTGTGACTGTGAAGTTTTCCAAACCGGACCCTCAAAATCCTGGTTCTTTGTTATGGTCCAAGAGACCTCTAGACTTAAGGGCTCTGCCTCATTGTTATTTGCATCAAGAGCTGCCACTGGTCTTTTCAGAGACAAACAGGATAAAAAATGTGTTGCTCCACAATGGCTTTGAACAACAGCTTTACTGTTCGAACTCGGACGATTATGGACTGATTACATTATTAGTCAGTCCATAATCTTCGATTAATAGTACATACAAACATATTGATAACAACCGGTCTATTTTATATAACTCATGCCCTCGTCATAGATTCCCCGTCTGTGCAACTCCCGGTGCCCCCAAAGGGAGTGAGGGTCAGGACTTGATACGAAGCCAGGGTATGTCCACACGCCAGTGGGCCATGACTCGATATCAAACATACTAATACTGCGTATTAAGCCTAGATATTGTGTAGAATCGCTTTCACTCTGATCCCATATAGGTTACATAGAATTTTGATTGAATATTTTGGATTCTTGGAAAAATATTTATCAAGAATAGAAATCTATCACAAATCGAAGAAAGATAATTGACAAATGGTGTATTCTCTCAGTTGTTCATATCTTTTTCCAGTTAATCTTTCTTTGTAGAAGAACAGATAAGGCAGCTCAATCTCTCTTCTTCACCCCTCTTTCTCTCTCTCTCTCTCTCTTCCTAGCTTCTTCCCCCTCTCTCTCTTCCTCCTTCCCTCTCAATTTCCCTCCCACTCTCTCTCTCTCAGGTTGGAAAGCACGCAAATGCTCGCAGTGACGCCGATCTTCAATAGCTTTTAGTTGCAGCTATGATCATTTTTGTTCGCATTTCCTGTATATGAATTCCAACTTAACTAAAACAACAAAACAAAACAAAGTCCATCCATATTAAAACCAAGCATGGATAACAATCTTCATTATTGTCACTTCAGAACATTGTTATTGAGTGAAAAACTATCGCTGTTGCACGCATCATCAGTGTCCTTTGCTCGCAGGTCGCAGCCCACACACTGCGTGCTCGCTACGACGCGTCCGTAAAAACGACAGATTTTCCAACCGAGTCTGTCTCTCTTCCCTCTCTCCCCTCCGTCTCCATCTCTCTCTCTCTTTCATTCTAGCTGTCTTCTCTCTCTTTCTCCCTCCCTCTTCCTTATGAATTTCTGGTTTGAATGCTATGAATGCACCTTTCAGTTTCAATTTAAAATGTCTTTAGTATCTACATTTCTGTTGACTTTACCTGATAATCTGTATTGTATCAAAGTATGAAAGCGTGATATTTTATGGTTTGCAATAGGCGTCCCTGGTGCAGCTGTATTAATGCAAGAAAGTATCGGTGATGCCTCGGGATCACTTTATCTGCAAAGAATGGATGTATCTGAATAGCTTTAGACAGTTTTTAATCGAGGGCCATCACTGTGCATGCATAAATGCATAGTTTTACGAATCAGTTAAAATCTTGTGATTTGTTATTACTTATTGTTATGATGATAATGATGATTGATGATGATGATGATTGATGATGATGATAATGATGATTGATTGATGATGAATGATGATGATGATGATGATGATGATGATGATGATGATGATGATGATGATCATCATCATCATCATCATCACCATATCATCCTCATCATCATCATCATCATGTGATGGAGAAAGGGAGAAGAAGTGAGCTTAAAGCGGAGAGGGGCTTAAAAAACGGGGATGAAGAATGGGATATGGAAGGGTATTAGGGAGGAAAGTGGAATGTGTAAGGGGAAAAGAGAAGGGGCTCAGAGAGAAACAGAGGACGAGAGGAGGGAGGGAAGAGGATTAACGGAACGAAGAAGGTTAGAGGAACAAGAGGGTCAGATTTATGTATCATTGTAGATTATCATTTCCTGAAATTGACTTTCTTAATGACATGTAACATTTTTTTGTAGTGCAAACAGTGTAATTCATCAAGAATGGTATAAACCCATAACTTTTTTGCAAAGCGTGGTCACCATCTCCATGGTTTTGTTTGCAACTGAAATACGACTTTTCAGAAGAGGCTTGAAATAAAGGATCTGAAAATTTTCACAAAGGCTTAATATATTAATAATGTCCGCACGCATAGAGATGAATGAGTGAAATAAAAAAGAACCTGCGCTTTACGATTATATAGGTTCTCATCTAAAGTACCATCGTCAATACTGTTATTATCATGATGTTCAAAGGTTTGTCTGTATCATGAACTTCCTAAACCTTGAATGAAAACCTTCACACTTGCAGATTGAATTGAAAACAGTACTAACTTTATTCACTGTCACGAGCAGTCTTCCTTCTTGGAGTTTAATGGAAACTGATTTTATGGTAAAAGTAAGTGATTCTATTTTGCACGATTTATTAGTGTAATGTGGTGGAAATGGATTTGGATATGTCACCTAAATCTATCATGAAATGCTGTGATATACTATGTATGTATCTCCATAGTTATGTGATTGTGTAAATTTCAAGTGATTTCTGCAGATTTCTTGCAGGGTCAAGCTCGGTTTTCAGTACGACAGACTTGCTTCCTCCGCCCCATCCCTCACACCCCCGTCCTCATCATGGCTGCTCATTCGTTCATCATAATTCATGCCATAATTTTGAATTTTACATTTATGGAGAGTGTATGCGAGAGATTTGTGAATTGTGAATGGCCATTTTTGTATATATTTATTAAGGAAGTAAATATATGATACCTTTTTCAATCATTTTGACGATACTCTCTAAAGCTCAAGTTGAAAGTAAAGTGACATGTACTAACAAAGTTATACTTGTAGATTGGTGGGAAACTTCTGAGGGCAACGACAACTTTGAGGGACCAGGTTACAGCAGCAGAGGCGCATACCCATACCCTCACACCAGCTGCCCTGACAAGGCGTCTTTCGGTGGAGCGGATGCCGAGTGTCGGTCTGTCTGCAGGAGTGACGAAGACTGCCCCGCACTCCAGTACTGTTGCGTTAGTGAATGCGACCGTAGGTGTGTCACGCCACAAATGACGGGTAAATATCCTTTTCTTTATGCTCTCTTTAATGATGTTGAATCAAGGATCTAATTGCACAATGCTAAACCATGACACTGGTTCTATTTTAGTTATTTCTTATTTATGACAGCGGAGCCACTTCAAGAACTTTGTGTAATTTTCCAGACCATTTATATATCAGCTGTTATTTTCTTTTTGCATTACATTAACCATGCAAATACGAATTTTCTATATGTAGATACAGGCGACGACTGTGGTTGCTCAGTGTCATTTCTACCGATGACATGGCCAAGTAGTCCGTCTTATGATTCAGGAGAAGTAAACATAAGAGTTGTCAACTTTATATGGCAATCAGTAAAAGACAGGTAAGCAATGGGTGAGACCCGCCCCTCCCTCCCATTCAGGGGGTCCACTGTACCGCATCTGCGTTCCCGTTTTCGGGAAAAGGGAGTTATATTCAGATCTCAATTCGGGGCAAATTCCCCCCAAAATCGAAAAATAGGGGTCCTTTTTTTTTGCTTTCTCCCCGAAAAAAACTAAAAAGAGGGTATATTTCAACCCGTCCCCGAGATATATAAAAAAGGGTAGCTTTAAACGTCCCGAGGACGCCGTCGGTGCGCGGCGCTCTTCGTGCGTAGTTCCCAGCAAGGTCTATATAAGTACTTATATAGACCTTGGTTCC